TCCTGCGGGCGCCAGCCCCGCCCTCTGACCGCCCCCATCGCCTGCAGGACCCACCCCTGTCCAGGCCTCGGGGAACCGCGCGGCTGAGAACTCGGCCCAGGGGACGGAGAGGCCGGGGTTCAAGTCCTGTGCCGTCCCTGGGAGTTTGGGGGGCCACTGACTCCCCCGCTCCGAACCATGCTAGCTCGACCCCGTAGGCATAGAGGTGCCCTCTCCAAACCTGAATGATTCTCTGAATTTCTGGAGAGGAAGCTCATTGTGAGGCTGGGGAGAGGGGGTGCGGTATTTCGGCTAAACTGGAGCCTCCCAGTAAAGTCGACGGTGCCAGAGTTAGGTTCTGGACTGGGACAACCGGAATTCAGATCCACCCGGTTCTGACTGGTGACAAAAGGGAGGTACCACCACCCTGGGCCTCAGTTTCCTCCTCTCTAACACAGGCGACTGTTGGTGCCAAGAGGTGCGAGTCTGCAGGAGACCCGCTGTGGTTCATCCAGCTGGTGCTTGGGGGGTGGGGAGGCTGGGGAAGGCGGCCGCCCAGGAAAGCCAGGGCACTCCCCAAGGCAAGGGGAGCCTGGTCCGCAGACATGTCAATAAACAAAGATAGGACCCCAATAAACCGATAACACAGCTGTATCAATGTCAGATGGCCAAGAAATACATGGTACTACAATGTGGTGGCACTTTATCTTGGAAAAGAGCCTAAATGTGCACGTGGAAGTGGCCTGGGAAGGGCAGCTGCATGTGAGGGGCAGTGAACTAGCGGAAACAGGGTTGTCGGAAATGAGACAGTCGTAGCCTCAGAGGGGGACAGGTATGGCTCCTCACACACTTGGGGGGCGGAGGAAGTTGGTAGGTGGTAGAGCCTGTGTGCGAGCGCGAATTTTGTTATCTCATGAGGCTTGGTTCATCTGGGCCCAGGTTTCTGCATTCACCTCGTGTTTCCTGGCGACGAGAGAGCCTATAAGCAAACACAGAATTTGTGCTATGCTCATAATTGTTCCGTAACATATCAGTCACATTGGAACACACTTGCATTTTATACAACCAAAGACCTTGTATGCATATATGCATAACCCATGGGCGCAGACAATGGGGTGGTGAGGGCCTGGGGTGAGGGTGGGAGTGGGCTGGAGGGGGTGGGGGAATGGTGGGGGACAAAAGGGGACATATGTAACACTTTCAACAATAAAGATTTAGATAATAATAAATAAAAATGCAAACAATAAATAAATAAAAGCAAGCATTGTAGCAGAACCGTGGTTCTAATCAGAGGTGGGAGTGGGCTGGAGGGGGTGGGGGAATGGTGGGGGACAAAAGGGGACATATGTAACACTTACAACAATAAAGATTTAGATAATAATAATAAAAATGCAAACAATAAATAAATAAAAACAAGCATTGTAGCAGAACCATGGTTCTAATCAGTAAGGTAGGGGGTGGATGTGATTGTGTGGTCTTGGATTTTGTATTTTCTGAGGTGGGGAATATTCATTGCTAGGGTAAAAGCAATTCTTGGTAGTTTGATCACTACCTTTGTTTTGGGGAGCATGGGAGCAGGTTTGGCTTCAGATAATCAGATTTTTATTTACTTTATTTTCTTTTTTATTGAATTTATTGGGGTGACATTGGTTAATAAAATTATATAGATTTCAGGTGAACAATTCTATGAAACATCATCTGTGTATTGTATTGTGTTCACCACCCCAAGTTAATCGAGTTTTTAAATGGTATTATTTATAGTTTGTGTATAAACCATGCATTGGGGATTATATGGGGAAAGGATGATTTTGAGGGTTAGCCATGTTTTTATTTTTTTAAAAATATATTTTATTCATCTGTGTATTGTATTGTGTGTTCACCACCCCAAGTTAATTGGGTTTTTAAATGGTATCATTTATAGTTTGTGTATAAACCATGCATCGGGGATTATATGGGGAAAGGATGATTTTGAGGGTTAGCCATGTTTTTTAAAAAATATTTCTGCCCTGGCCAGTGTGGCTCAGTGGTAGAGTGTCCACCCACGCACCAAAGGTCTCTGGTTAGATTCCCGGTCAAGGGCACATACCTGGGTTTGCAAGTCAATCCCAGGCCCTGGTCTGGCCTTGTGTGGGAGGCAACCAATCAATGTGTCTCTCATATCAATGTTTCTCTCTCTCTCTCTCTTTCCCCTCTTCCCTACCTTCCACTCTCTCTAAAAATCAATGGAAAAATCCTTAGGCAAGGATTAACAAAAATAAATAAATAAATTAATTAATTAAAATATTTCTGGTTGGTATAGTCTACCATTTTAAAATTATTTGTGGGAGCCCAGCCAGTGTAGGTCAGTGTTGAGCGTCAGCCTATGAACCAGAAGGTCGAGGTTAGATTCCCAGTCAGGCATATGCCTGGGTTGCAGGCTCAATCCCCAGTGTGGGGCATGCAGGAGGCAGCTGATCAATGATTCTCTCTAATTAATGATGTTTCAATCTCTCTCTACCTCTCCCTTCCTCTCTAAAATCTATAAAAATATATTTTAAAATTATTTGTGGTTTCAGGATATCTGGGATTCAGGACTGGAGAGTTCTCTTTAGTTTACTTGATTTTATTTTTGCATCATCTGAGTTTTGGAAATTATCCAAAGTTAGGAGAATTATCCAAGGCTTTTGGAAAATATACCTGGATATTTGGGTTTTGGGTCAGAGAATACTTTTCTTGTTTTATTCTGTGATCATCGGACTTTTATTGCTTTTTTTGTTTTCTTTTGTTAATCCTCATCTGAGGATATTTTTTCGATTGATTTTTAGAGAAGGTAGAAGGGAGGAGAGACAGAGAGAGAGAAACATTGATGTGAGAGAGACACATCCAGTGGCTGCCTCCTGCATGCGACCTGACTGGGGCCAGGGATCAAGCCTGCAACCAAGGTACATGCCCTTGACCAGAATCAAACCCAGGACCCTTCATTCCAGGGGCCAATGTTCTATCCACTGAGCTAAACCCACTGGGGCTATTACTATTTTTTAAAATTGATTTTAGAGGAAGGGAGAGAGAGAGAGAGAGAAACATGGATGTGAGAGATACATCAATCAGTTGCCTCCTGTATGCACCCCAATCAAGGTCCCTGACCAGGAATTGAACCTGAGACCTTCCAGTGCACAGCATGATGTTCCAACCAACTGAGCCACACTGGCCAGGGCAATCATCGTACTTTAAAAAATCCACACCATCATTTTATTTTAGCACCAGTTTTAGACTTACAGAATAATTGAAAAGATAGATTATAGTTTCCATATATCTACACCTAGTTAACCTGACTTTTGTAAATAATCTGGAGTTTGAGGTTTAGGGATTTTCCTGGATTTTGGAATTCCTGTTATTTATCTTGGTTTGGGCAGAGGGGTAAGAATCATCTGAATTTCGTAAATTATCTGGGGCCTGAGGACTATCAGAGGTTTGTATTATCTGTGTGTAGGATTATAGAGCAGGGACCCGGATGCCCTATCTCCTTACCCCCCATTTCACATCCCTTCTTTCTGGGTATCATGGGGCACCTCTCTCCTGACAGCTGGAGGTGCCCAGATGTGGGTCCAGACCCGCCCCTCCCCTGGGAGGGGCTCCGCCTCCTCTCCTTGGGGGCTTTATGTCTTTCTCTCCCCTACCTGCAGGTCCCGAAGGCTGTAACCTGTTTATCTACCACCTCCCCCAGGAGTTTGGAGACACGGAGCTGACGCAGATGTTCCTGCCCTTCGGCAATATCATCTCCTCCAAGGTGTTTATGGATCGGGCCACCAACCAGAGCAAATGTTTTGGTGAGTACCTGTGGAGGGTGCCCCTTCCTGCTGGCCAGCCTGTCCCACTCCCCTGGCCCTGGAACAGGGGATGGGGGTGGGGTGGGAGAGGTTGGTCATCGCTGAGACAAGCCTGGTCCAAAAGAATCGCATTTTTTAAAAAAAGAATCGCATTCATAATCAGAGTGAACACTTACTAAGCACCTACTGTTTGCTGGACACTTGCCATGCATTCTTTCTAAGACTCACTCGTTCATTCATTCATTCAATAAATACATATATTGTGTCCCTGCTGTGTGCCAGGTTCTGTGCTTGGCACTGGGCACATAGCAGTGAAGGAGGCCCACAAAGCCCTACCCTGAGAAAGCTCACAGCCCTCCTGCACCATCCGACAGAGCTTCCTTTGCTGATGGAATGTTCTACATCCAGTCTGTCTGAGCCATCAGCCCCTGTGACTACCAAGTACTTGAAATGTGCCCAGTGTGACCAAAGGATTAAATGTTTAATTGTATTTAATTTAAATTAAAATAACCACAAGAGCCAGTGGCTACCAAATTAGAAAGCACAGATTTAGGGGGAGGAGATGGAAATAAGGAATCATAGGATATAGGCCAGGGAATTATAAATAGTATGAAGAAAGATAGAGCTGACTGGTGATGAGCCAGCATGGGGAAATCTGTAGGAAGAGTGTTCTAGGAAGAGGCAACAGCATGTGCAAAGGCCCCGGGGCTGGGCATGTGTGTTGGAGGAACAGTGAGGAGGCCTGTGTGGATGGAACAGAGTGAATGATGGGGAGAGAGGGAGGAGGTAAGGGCAGGTGGGGGACAGGGACAGATCATCTTTGTCCCCAGAAACAGAGGAAATTAGGGCTCAGAGAGGCACTGACACTTGTTCAAATCACACAGCTGCAAAGAGGCAGAACCTAGATTAGAACTAGTCTGTTTGACTACAAAATCTGGACTGGTAACCCCACCCCATCCTCTTTGAAGAGCTAATTCTTGACTGTTAAGTGCCGTCTGTATATACTCAGTATCCAACCATAAAAGGGAAGAATTGTCCCAATTTACTGAGGGAGAAAAGAGAGGAACGAAATGGTCAGGTGACACACAGCAAGTACGACAGCAAGTACAGAACTCCCACTAGTGCCCAAGCCCCCTTTCTGTAACCTGCGTCCAGAAGGAAGAGGAAATTTCGGGAGGAAAACCCACCCAATCACTTTTAACCATCAGGGGGGTCATATGCATTCTCTGAGCCTCAGTTTTCTCATCTATATAATGAGGGGACTTAATGGAGATAAATACAATGATGTTAATCCCTCAACTCTAAATTCCCCCGTGGCTCCCCATGGGCCTCAGCAACCCTTCAACCCTGAGCCCCAATCTCCCTGCCTGACCTCCCACTTGGCCTTTCACACAGAGCTCAGGTGACCTCATCTCCAAATGCTTGTGTGGTTCCCTCCCCCTGGAGGGTCCCTGGCCTCTGGGCTGCACATGGTCCCTGTGATGACCAAGAAGTAAGGGGCCGGAGTAGGCCAGGCAGCCTTGAGCTGGCAGGTGGAGGGAGTTTGGCTGGTGGCAGTTTGAGGAGGGGGAGGCTTCAGTATTTCTGATGGTCTTGGGGGAAACTAGGAGTAGAGAGACTGACAGAGACAAAGAGAGAGAAGGAGGGAGAGATGGAAAAAGAGACGAGACAAAGAAGCACACACACAGTCATAAGGACAGACAAGACCACAGATGAATAGAGGTCTCAGGAGGCAAAGGGCTAACTGGCATCAGGGCCCAGAGGAGGCAGGCATCCTGGTGGGAGGGAGGACCTGGACCCCCAGAGGTAGGTCCCACCTGTCCCCAACTCCACATAGGAAGTCTCCGCAGAGCAAACCCCAGGTAAGGAATGAGTGCCCCATCCCCAGAGGCACGCAGTCCAGGCCAGGGGTGCTGTGTGTCCTCTGGCAAGCCCTGCCACCCCCGCCGCCCCCGGCTGCCTGCCCCTGCGAGCGCACACCCCGCCCCTAGGACCCCACGAGCCAGGAAGCCGAGTGGAAGACGCCCACGTTGCCCACCATCGCGGGTCCACCCCGGTCTCTGCAGGCTTCGTGAGCTTTGACAACCCAGCCAGCGCGCAGACTGCCATCCAGGCCATGAATGGCTTTCAGATTGGCATGAAGAGGCTGAAAGTGCAGCTGAAGCGGCCCAAAGATCCGGGACACCCCTACTGACCACGCCCACAGCCGCCCGGAGGCTGTGGGCTTGGCCCAGGTGAGCCGCCAGGCGGCCCCACCCGCCCCAACCCTGCCCCGGGTTTTCTGCACCCTCCCTATTCCCCAAACCCTCTCCCGGCCTGGGGGTGGGAATGGGGCCAGGGGGTGAGGTTGCTAAGGGGCCCCCAGGTTGGATTGTAAGGGACGGAGCTGGATGAAGACACTCCCAATCCCTGTCGTGGGAGGGTAGGATTGGGTTGGGGAAGTGGGGGAAGCCAGTGCTCACCAAGGGTGGTTCGAATCCTTCCTGGAGAAGCTTTGAAGGATAAATAGAAATTTGCCTGAGGGGCCAGGTTGGGAATGGGGTGGGGAATGTTGTGGGGATGGGCTTCTCTCCTGTCCTATGACTCCCAGCTGGGCCCCTCTCTCAGCTCCTCTATTTGGTATAGTTCATACCCAATGGGTTGATGGGAAGGTGGGATTTTGCCCCGCCCCCCATGCCAGAAAAAATGACCCCCCAAACAAATCCCCAAGAGTGTATTTTGATTTGACATCAGAGCAAACAATTTTATCAACTCATTACCTTTTTTAGGGAATGAATAGTGAGCCTAAGGGATCAATGAGGAAACTAACTACTGACCTCAAGCTTCCGTGAGCCTCATCTGTGAAATGGGCTCATAAAAACACCTCCCCTAGAGGCAGTAGGGAGGACTCACACAGGGGATGCATTGTTTTCCCAGTTGAGCCTGGGATCCACCACCTGTAAATTCTTGATAATTCCTATTTTTTTTCTTTTTTAATCACCATTGCCGTCATCAGAAAGCTTTGCCTGGGGTCTGGCGTAAAGTAGGTGCTCAGTCAGGGGATGGTGGTAACTTTCAGACCCTGTCAGGTCAGCACCCACAGATTTGAGGGTGTGCAGTCAGAGTCCTGCATCTTGGAGCTCACATTTGGAAACCTGCCACGTTTGGAAACCAACTCACAGGCAACCCACACACTTTTAACATGCTGGGATAGCACATCTTTCCTGAGCACCTACTATGTGCTAGGCACTGTTTCCAGTGTTTGGGGACACAGCTTCGCATGAACAGAAACTTGGGGGTGGGCGGGGGGAGGGGAGAAACTGCCATCCTGGTGCTCCAGTGGCAGGCAACAGGGGAGAGGAGACACAAATGAACAGGAATATTTGTCCCAAGTTGCCAGATAAGGACACGCACTTGGTTACCCTAACTCTGTTCCAAGCCAGGTTTGTCAGCCTCCAAACTCCAAAATGGACTCTTTCCGAAAAGATTAGGAATCTTGGGGTTCTAGACCCCAGCCTGGCCAGGGCAAGGGGGTGGATGGGAGGGGAGGTCCTTTGCCTTTGTGCCCAGCTCAGAGTTCCCTAACGCCCTCCCTTCTCCACCAGGTGAGGGGCCTTCCACCCCAGGAGGGTTTCCCCGCTTCCAACTGATCCAGGACTTTTCCGTAAATTACAACCGAGTTTGGACACCAGCCCTCCCTCTCCTCTCCTGTCTCCCCTGAGCCCCCTTCCCAAAATGTGAAGCGCTGCCGGAGAGGGCAGGGGGCTGAGGAGCTTACCACTTCCTCCTGGGAGATTTCCTGGCTCCTCACCCCCTACAACCTTGGTGGCTTCCCCAAACTAAATCACCACTTTTTCTATATATATATATGCATATATATAGAGAGAGCTATAGACAGTATATATATTTTTTGAGTGTAGATCATGGGACCAAACTTTTCTGACTTCCTTCCACCCAAGAGAAGGTGACCCTAGGCTGGTCACTCAGCAGGGACATAAGAAGGGCTGAGGCTGGCCGGACAGCCCCGTGTCTCCTCACCTCCCGGCTGTATCGTCAGACCAGGGTGCCAGAGAAGCACTGGGAGTCATCAGCCAACCGATATACCTCCAGGACTTTTGGCCGCTGCCACCGACGATTCTCTCGGGCCTATGGGCTCAGCCGGCTTGAGTGTCCCTGGTCCTAGCTGCAGCTTCCGGGACCCCGAACTTCCCTCCCTTGTCCCAGGGCCCTGCCTTCCCCCGCACAAAAGAGAGCCCCTGGCCTCCCCCAGCCCTTTCCCCCCAGTCATAGCCTTACTCATGTGACCAATAGCCCTTAGCTTTCCGTCAGGGGTAGATGGGGCCGGTGGGAGCCCCTCTCCTCCTACCCCTCCCAAGGGCAGGCAGCCAGCCCTCCCTGCCTTCGGATCACCAGCCTGGAATTCACGGTCTCATAACCAAGATTGCCACGCTCGTTGGACAAGCCCAACCTGCACTGGCCAAGCACCCCTTTGCCGAAGATACCTCTTCAAAGAATTTTTTTTTAACGTTGATCTTTCTGAGCAGGTACAAAGAAGAAAAGAGGAAAGAGAAGAAAAATGGGGGTGGGGGGAATCAAACAATGGATTTTTGTTTCCTAGCTGGGGCTGGGAGGGAGATCCTGTGGGGTGCCTCTCTATACCTACCCAAACCATGAAAACCCACCTTGAAGCACAGAGTCAAGTTCGTTTGGTCGTCCAGTGGAGCCTATTGCCAAACGAGGTACCAGAGAACTTAATAAGCTCAAGAAAAAGAATTTTTGGAAAAAAGAAAAACCCACAGCATTCCCTTTTGTTTCTACCAAAATGTGTTGACCAACCCAGAAAAAAAGAAAAGAAAAACACATAGTAAAAAAAAAAAAAAAAAAAAAAGGGAAAAGAAAAAAAAAATCTTCGGACCAACTTGTTTCGATATTCCAGAGTTTGATAATTGTTCAAAGACATTCTCTAGTGTGCCTGTATCCCGTGCGTCTGCGTGTGCAAGCGTGTGCTCAGGGGCCAAGAGGGGGCCTCATCTGCGTCTCCGGTGCCCACCAAGCTCCCGCCAGGCCTGGCGTGCAGTGGTGTGTGTCCTGATCCATGTTTACTGGCTGTAAATACCATTTTTATACTCCACACCGAAGATCTACATGATTTGTACAATGTACTTTATTTCTGCTACTAGTAATTTCATGAAGTTTCAACTTGCAAACCAACTTTTGGAAACAAACCCACACACACACACACACACACACACACACACACACACACACAAGGCAAGAAAAGGACTTAGAAGAAACTCTGGGCTGACCAATGTTGTGGCTGGAGAGGTCCTTGTCACTGTGGTGTGTTTCAGGTGAGAAGCTACGAGCATCATCTTTATGTCCCAAACACCTCTCTTTGGTCTGGAAAAACTGAAAGTTTATTTAATAAAAGTTTTACTTGCTAAAGGACTGAGTCCTCCTTATTTGCCCTTTCGCGTCAATAAAGACCAAGTGCATCTGGCCCCACTGAGTCACTGAGTTTCTGGGCTAGAGAAAAATTCAGATTTAGAGTTGGGAGATGCAGAAGGAGGTAATCCAAGAAGGCAGGTCTGAAGTCCCCATAGCCAAGATTTCATCTACTCCATCCAGAATTTGAGGAAATGAAGTGTTCTTTCTAGTGAAGAGCAGGTGCCTGTGTCTCTTGATTCCCACATTCGTTCAGTCAGCCCACAAATGTTTCTTGAACACTCACTGCACATCTGTCTCTTTGCTGGCCACTTCAGACACAGCAGTGACCAGAGGGCTGTAGTCTCTGCCCTCACGGAGGCAGCCCAGGAGAGGAGACTCTATACAACACACTTTTTTTGTTTTGTTAATTCTCATTCAAGGGTATTTTTTCCATTGCTTAGTTTTAGAGGGAGTGGAAGGGAGGAAGGGAGGGAGGGAGAGAGAAACATTGATGTGACAGACATATCCATCGGTTGCCTCCTGCACATACCCCAACTGGGGCCAGGAATTGAAGCTGCAACCCACGTATGTGCCCTTGACTAGGAATCAAACCCAGGACCCTTCAGTGCTCAGACCAATGCTCTAATCACTTAGCAACACCAGCCAGGACTATACAGTACAACACATTTTTTAAAATTGGGGTAAAATTCGCATAACCTAAAATTCACAATTTTTATCATTTTGAAGTGTATAATTCAGTGGCATTCAGTACATTCACAAGATTTTGCAGCCATGACCTCTGTCTAATTCCAGATCATTCCAGCACCCCAAAAGCAATTTCATCTCCCTTAGCAGTCATTCCCCAGCCCCTGGCAACCACTAATTCATTATCTCTGGATTTGCTATTCTGGACATTTCACAAAAATGGAATCTCACTGTGTGGCCTTTTGTGCCTGGCTTCTCTCACTGAGCATCATGTGTTCAAGGTTCATCTATGTTGTAGTGACTGTCAGCGCCTTTTTCTTTTTCATGGCTGAGTAATACTTCAGTGTGGATGGACCACATCTTGTGCATCCATTCATCCATCAGTGGACATTTGGGTTGTTGCCACCTTTGGGCTATTGTAAATAGTTCCACAATACATGTATACGTTTTTGTTTGAACACCTGTTTCAGTTCTCTTGGATAGATATTTATGAGCAGAATTGCTGGGTCATGTGGTAATTCTGTGTTTCACTCTTTGAGGAACCACCCAACCATTTTCCATGACAACTGCCCCATTTTATATACCCACCAGCAGTGTGTTCGGGTTCCAGTTTCTCTGCACCCTTGTCAGCACTGTTACACAATGATTTTTGAATTGGAATGTTGAGGGAGAAAGTCCCCAGTTGAACCTGTAACCAAAGACCCAGAAGTGCCCTGAGGAAGTGATGACTGAAGGAGATAAGACCAGAGAGATGATGTGGCTTTGGCTCCTGCTCCACTCCAGTGGAGGCCTCAAAAAAAAAAAAAAAATCCTGACACGTGGGGTGAGGACATGCGGCTCCAGAGGAGGGCCTTGGATGGGGGTATGAATAGTGGGGATAGCCACACCCAAGCTGAGCCTCTTGAAGTTAATGGGAGTCATACTAACCCCTCGATTTAATGAGCTACTTCATATCCTGCCAAATACTTTGCAAAACCATGTGTCTTATTGGTAATTCATCCCATTTTATGGTTGAGGAAACTGAGGCTCAGAGACATGGCGTGCCTTGCTCTAGCACCCACAGAGAGAACAAGGCCTGGCTGGGATACGAGCTGGGAGGAGGAGTCTGAGTCTGCCTAGCAGGGTTTTTTGGGTGGAAGGAACAGCCTGGGCCAAGGCTCCCAGGCTTGAGATGGTGTGGTGGTTGGACAGTTGGCTAAGACTGCAGCACTGGGCAAAGAAACAGGTGCAGAGGTGATAGGGGCCAGATTGCAGAGTCCTTTCCTGATCATGTACATAACTGTGTGCCAGACCTTGTCCCTCCCCAGGCCTCTGTCAAGGAGAGAGGTGGACAAGAAAATAAAAGTACTCACCTCTGCAAGAAAGAGTAATTCCAGAGCATGCTAAAAGTTGTGACCACCAGGAGATTAGCAAATCTGGGACATTACCTTAGGGCAAGGGGGAACCACAGAAGGGCTTTGAGCAGGGGAAGGGCATGATCAGATTAGGAAGTTAGGAGGATACCTGGGGTACCTCCAAGCTGATGAGGTGTAAATTGACGCTCTGGAGGATAATTTGGCAGGATAATATTCCTTTCAAGCATTTATTTATTAAGCACTTACTATTTACCAAGTATTGTTTTAAGCCTGTGTCATCTAATACAGTAGGCATTAGCTACATGTGGCTATTTCAATTTAAATTATTATAAACTAGAGGCCCTGTGCACAAAATTTGTGCACTGTAGGGGGGTCCCACAGCCCGGCCTGCACCCTCTCGCACACAGTCCAGGACCCCTCGGGTGGGATCGTGTCTAACCTGGCAGTCAGACATCCCTCTCTTGCAGTCTGGGACCCCTCACTCCTTACCGCCCACCTGGAGTGGAAGCAAGAGAGGTTCCCACCACCGCCGCTGTGTTCACCAGCTGTAAGCCCGGCTTCTTAGCACAGGGGTGGTGCCAGGAGCTTCTCCTGCCTCTGAGGCAGCACTAAAGAGCAGTGAGCCCGGCTTTTGGCTGAGCAGAGCTCCCACAGGGGAAGCACACTGACCACCAGGGGACAGCTCCTGCATTAAGCGTCTGCCCTCTGGTGGTCAGTGCACATCATAGCGACCAGTTGTTTCGCCGTTCGGTCGATTTGCATATTAGCCTTTATTTTATAGGATTCTCTTCCTCAGTCATACTAAACCACATTTTAAGGCTCAATAGCCACATGGTCGATTTGCATATTAGCCTTTTATTTTATAGGATTCTCTTCCTCAATCATACTAAACCACATTTTAAGGCTCAATAGCCACATATTCATCACTGCAGAAAGTTCTACAAGGCAGCATTGGCCTCGGTGATTTATGTGACTTAACTCACTTAGCCTACCACCATCCTGGGAGTATGTTCTATTAATAGCCCAAATTTATGAGTTAGTAAACTGGAGCCCAGAGAGGTTAAGTGACCTGCCTGAGGTGCACAGCAGCAGTTGAATCCAGGCTCTCAGGTGTGTCTCTTAACTGCTGCACTGCTCTGCTTCCCTGTGCTGTGTAGTGACTGAAATTCAAATGTTAGATTGTAATTCAAGTTACTGTTTATAATAGTTTAAGCTTTTAAATTTAACTCAAAGACTCAAAGTTGGTAAACGTTTAGAATGTGCATCCTTACAATACGAATGTCTCCATAGAGTGAACTGCTTTGTGCTTGGAATGGCTGAGCCATGGCTGTGGTGTAGGTTTTCATCCAGGGGGATAGGCTAAGTGGCACCCAGGGTGTATCAGTTAGCTATTGCTACATGAAAATTTTAGCAGATTAAAACAATACGCATCCATTAACTCACAGAGTTTCTGTAGGTCAGGAATCTAGGAATGACATAGCTGGGTGGTTATGGCTTAGGGTCTCTCATGAGGTCACAGTGAAGACATCAGCTAGGGCTGCCTTATCTGAAGGCTTGACTGGGGCTGGAGGAGCCCCTACTAGCTGGTTTCCTCATGTGGCTGTTGGCAAGAGACCTCAGTTCCTCTCCATGTGGACCTCTTGAACCCTGCCTTTTGTGACTATGTCCAGGTCACACCCCCTCACTTCTGCCTTATTCTATTTGTTAGAAGCAAGTCACTAAGTTTAGCCTACAGTCATGGCAGGCATACACACCAGGAGGTGGGGACAGAGGCCCACACAGGGAGCGCTCTCATGGTGGAATACCGTGTGGCTGTTAAAGAATGGAATCATCTCCAGGTCATACTGTTAGATGAAAACAAGAGAGATGCAGAAAAATGCACACAGCAGGAAATAATCCATGAGGGATGTGTGTATGTAGCTTCTAAAAAATGCATAAGTATACATTCTCTCTGGGGCCATGTGTATGCTTGTAAGAAAGAGAGGGAAGGCCATGGCCACTTTGGCTCAGTGGATAGAGCGTCGGCCTGTGGAATGCAGGGTCCTGGGTTCGATTCCAGTCAAGGGCACGTACCTCGGTTTCAGGCTCCTCCCTGGCCCACCCAGCCCTGGTCAGGGCACATGCAGGAGGCGACCCATCGATGTGTCTCTCTCACATTGAATCAATGGGAAAATATCCTCGGGTGAGGATTAACAAAATATGTATATATTAAAAAAAGAAAGAGAGGGAAGGGCTAGAAGTCTCTTCACCAGAAGGAAGGTTCTGGTTTTGCAGAGTAAGGAGCTGGGGGCCAGGATGAAGCAGTGCTGCAATCTTTACAAGGTCTACCTAAATATATTCAGGTATTATTTAGGAAATTAAGAATTTATTTTAAATACATTTTCAAAAGATGAATGGAAAAGGCAGGTATGAGAGGTATTTGGGGGAAAGTGCCTACATTTAACACAGCCGCCCCCACTGCCCTGTGGAGAGGCCTGTGTAACAAGGGCCAACAGCCAGTCAGGAACTGAGTCCGACCAACAACCACATGAGCTTGGAAGTGGAGCCTTTCCCAGTTCGGCTTTCAGAAGAGACCCCAGCCCAGCTAACACCTTGATTGCAGTCTGTGAGAGACCCTGAAGAAGAGAATCAAGCTAAGTATTCCTGGATTCCTGCCCACAGACACTATGAGATAAATGTTTTAACTCACTAAGTTTTAAGGTAATTCATTATGCAGCAACTAGAGGCCCGATGCACAAAATTCGTGCAAGGGGCTCAGCCCTCACAGCCACGGCTTCGTCTGTA